TTTAGATGGTTCATATTCGGGGCTTTTCCATTCCACAGTTCATATAGAGCTTACTCCGTTGACTTTCCTGGTAGTTGAGTTTGGAGATAGAATGCAGTAATTGTGTAATTGCCTCCCCCAGTATGTGGAGGGCATATCTGCATCAAAAAGCATGGGTCTTCTACTCTCACATAGAGTAGGATTCATTCTTTCTGCAACCCCATTTTGTTCTGGGTTGTATGGTACAGTAGTTTGAAATATTATGCCATGCTTTCTGAGAATCGCTTATGTGTTATCATGGCATCCCAGTCTTAGTCCGTAGGGTTCAATATTGAGTTGGCCCACCCTTTGGAGATATAACAGCTTCACCTCTTCTGGGAAGGCTGTCCACAAGGTTTAGGAGTGTATCTATGGGAATGTTTGACCATTCTTCCAGAAGAGCATTTGTGAGGTCAGGCACTGATGTCGGAAGGCCTGGCTCGCAGTTTCTGCTCTAATTCATCCCAAGGGTGTTCTATCAGGTTGAAGTCAATAGCAAGGAAGGCGCCTCTAAGTGTAATATGCAACAGTTTATTGAGTAGTAAAGGTTAAAAGCACTTACAAGATAGCAGTCAGATAAAAGCTCATCAAGTATAATTCCAGGGAGACACATTGAGCAGACCAGTGGTAGTGAGTGTGGTAGAACACACGGGCAATATGGCCACCATACTTAAAGGAGAGGCATCGAAAACACACACCGGAAGTGACATCAAGGGGGCAGTAACGTGTTTCGAAGCATTTGCAGACACTCCTTCCTCAGACCATAAACCCCTGTGATAGGAGCCACTACTTATAATAAGTAGGAGCGGGAACTGGAATTATTAACAAAGCAACCAATCAAAATGGGTACTTGAAATGAATGGGCCTCAAAATAGTTGTCACAGCGACACCTAGGGGGTTGCATTGGTACTACAAGTAAAGAACAAATATGAATTATACTGTATATATACAAACAGACTAAGTGAATACATATGAACATACATACAATGGCTTTGCATATAATATACATATAAACGTATCTATAGTAAGGTGAGATAAAAAATTATTAGCTGACAATAAAATAAGAATAAAGAGACATACAAAGAGGAAAAAAAATGATATCAATGGAATGTGAGAAAGGATAATGACGCTAATAAAGGATCGAACACAAGATTATAATATTGTATTAATCTCTAATACCTCGTTTAGATCTCCAGGGGCTCCCACAACAGCTGCTTCTGGATATAATCTATTCAAAATTAGATTTTCGGAAGATGATTATATTCTTTCTATTCTATTCTATTCTATTGAATTTTCTATTCTTTTCTATTCTAATCTATTCTATTAAAATTTGAATTTATTCTATTCGAATTCGAATTATAAAAATTCTATTCTAATCTATTCCAATTTATTCTATTCGAAATTTGAATTTCGGTACACAGTTATTATTTATTTTATTCTATTTTTTTGGGGGGGGGGGGGTTTTTCTATTCTTTTCTATTCTGTTCTAGTATTGTCTATTATTTTCTATTTTATCTTATTATTTTCTATTCTATTCTATTATTTTTTTATTCTTTCTATTCTATTGTTTTGTATTCTAATTTATTCTATTCAAATTTGAATTTATTCTATTTGAAATTAGATTTTTGGAAGATGATTATATTCTACTGTATTCTATTCTATTGAATTCCATTCTATTGTTTATTCTATTCTATTCTTTTTTATTCTATTCTTTTCCCTTCTATTCTAATCTATTCTATGCAAACTCAAATTTATTCTATTTGAAATTTGAGTTATATTCTTTATATTTTATTCTATTCTATTGTTTTTTTTTTTCTATTCTTTTCTATTTTATTATTTCCTTTTCTTTTCTTTTCTATTCTATTATATTGTATTCTATTCTAATGTTTTTTCTATTCTATTTTATTTTTTTTTTTTTTATTCTATTATTTTATGTTCTATTCTATTTTTTTGTTTTTTTTTATTTCAAAGTTGATCTAAATTCAATCTGAGTTTTAATCAAATTTGAATTTCATTTTGTTATTTTGGATTCATTACTATTGTAATTTGGAAATTTGGATACATCCGAATTTCCGAATAACGAAAACTTTGCCCAAATTTTGATTTGGAATGAAAAAAAAATGCATGTCTACAGTTCAATTTGTTTTTGCATTCCAGCTGTCCAGATTCTGAAATATGCTTTTAATTTGCCTTGTTTCTTGTACACAAAGCACGTGTTTCTTGTTGCCTGTTACTGTTTTTATTCCTGTTTTCATCTTTAAAGTAGACTGCATCAGGGGCACCATCACTATTAATGTTTTATGTTTTATGCTATTGTTCATCACCTGGACATGCATCTAGTTCAGGGATACTTGCATGGCATCTCCCAGAATTGGAACACAGAGCTGCTAGGGGTGCATGTCACCTAAGCTAGCTGACTGTACCCTGAAGAGGCAGGCAGCAGAAGAGGATCAAAAAAGGCGGTGCAGGACCAGTTGTGTTATGAAGAGAACCCAGGAATACAGTTAACCACTTTCCCTCCAGAGGACTTATCCCCCTTCCTAACCAAGCCGATTTTTTGCGATACGGCGCTGCGTAATTTTAACTGACAATTGCATGGTCATGCAACGCTGCACCCAAATGAAATTTATGTCCTTATTTCCCACATATAAAGCTTTCTTTCTGTGGTGTTTGATCACCTGTGTGTGTTTTTTATTTTTTTGCGCTATAAAAAAAAAAGACAATTTTGGAAAAAAAAAAACAATATTTTTGACTTATTGCTATTAAACATGTCCAGTAAAAAAAAATTAAAATATCAAATTTGGTCATAAATTTAAACCAAAATGTATTCTGCTACATGTCTTTGCTAAAAAAAATTCGAATACGTTTAAATTAGTTAGTTTACGTGAAATTATAGCGTCTAAAAATGTCGGTACTGGAATTTTTTTTTTAACCAGTAATGACGGCGATCAGCGACCTATGGCGGGACTGCATTCTGACACTGGGTGAGTACTGACTAACTGTCACTGAAATCAGTCAGTGACACCAATACAGTGATCAGTGCTAATAAAAAGCACTGACACTGTACTAATGTACTAATGACACTGGGCAGGAAGGGGTTAACATCTGGGGTGATCAAAGGGTTAACCATGTGCTGTATTGTGTTTTACTATGTAGACAAGCTGCAATGTATTGCTCTGCTGTGCAGAGCAATACAAAGCAGCCTGTTCATGCTGATAGGGGAGAGATGTGTGTTGTTTACATACAGACCTCTCCCCTGTCAGCTCCGCCCATGATCACTGAGTCCTTGCTGAGAATCGGTGGCTGGGACCCAGTGATTGACATGTCAAAGACGCGCGCGCCCCCTGCCCGGAAATGCAAAATCATGTATATATACGTGATTTTGCGCATCCCTGCCACCCTGTAGCAGTACTTTTGCTCTAGGGCAGTCAGGAAGCGGTTAAGAAGTGGGGGGGTGCAGGGGAGTTGAGTACCACTTTAGGTCACCACCAAAGCTACAGACTTCGGCATGCAAACTGTCTTTGCAGATGATTAAGTCTTTGCAGATGACACCAAGCTGTGCAGTGGAATAACATTCTTACAGGATGTCTCCAATTTACAAGCTGACCTCAATGCACTGTTTAATTGGGCAACTATGTGGCAAATGAGGTTTAATGTTGATAAATGTAAGGTTATGCACTTGGGGGCTAAGAATATGCATGCATCATACATACTAGGGGAGTACAACTGGGGGAATCAATGGTGGAGAAGGATCTGGGAGTTCTTGTAGATCACAAGCTTAATAATGACATGCAATGCCAAGCTGCATTTCTAAAGCAAGCAAAATCCTCTCTTGTATTAAAAGAGGTATAGACTCCAGAGAGAGAGATATCATATTACCCCGGTACAAATCATTAGTAAGACCTCATCTGGAATATGCAATTCAGTTTTGGGCACCAATTCACAAAAAGAACATTGGGGAACTGGAGAAAGTACAGAGAAGGGCAACCAAACTGATAAGAGGCATGGAGGAGCTCAGCTATGGGGAAAGATTAGAGGAACTGAATTTATTCTCTCTTGAGAAGAGAAGATTAATGGGGGAATATGATCAACATGTATAAATACATCAGTGGTTCATATAGTGAACTCGGTGTAGAGCAATTCACCCTGAGGTCATCACAGAGGACAAGGGGGAACTCTTTACATCTGGAGGAAAAGAGATTTAATCTCAAAAAACGGAAAGGTTTCTTCACAGTGAGAGCTGTGAAAATGTGGAATAGACTCCCTCAAGAGTTGTTTCTGGCCAGCTCAGTGGATTGCTTTAAAAAAGGCCTGGATTGTTTCCTAGGAACACAGAATATAACTTTTTACTAAAATGTTAGGTAAAGTTGATCCAGGGAATATCCGATTGCCTTTCGGGGGATCAGGAAGGAATTTTTTCCCCTGCAGGAGCAAACTGGATCATGCTTTGTTGGGTTTTTGCTTTCCTCTGGATCAACTGTGGGTATAGGATTATAACGTTTTTCTTTTTTTTTTTCTGGTTGAACTAAATGGACTTTTGTCGTTTTTTCAGCCAGACTAACTATGTAACTATGTGTGAGATACAGTGGAACAATGTAAATATGCAAAAAAGATTATCCCTGGAGTAGAGCTTTAAGGCATTGACCACACCTGTTTAACCACTTACCTACAGGGCACTTATACCCCCTTCCTGCCCAGGCCAATTTTCAGCTTTCAGCGCTGTTGTACTTTGAATGACAATTGCGCGGTCATGCAACACTCTACCCATATGAAATTTTTATAAATTTTTTTGAGACAGATAGAGCTTTCTTTTGGTGGTATTTAATCACCTCTGGGTTTTTTTTATCTATTGCTAAACAAACCAAAAACAACTGAAAATTTTGAAAAAAAAAATTTTTTTCTTAGTTTTTGTTATAAAATTCTGTAAATAAGTGATTTTTTCTTCTTCACTGATGTGCGCTAAGAGGCTGCAGTGATGGGCACTGATAGGCTGCACTGATGGGCACTGATAGGTGACACTGATGGGCACTGATAGGTGGCACTGACTGACACTGATAGGCGGCACTGACTGGCACTAATAGGTGGCACTGACTGGCACTGATAGGCAGCACCGACGAACACTGATAGATGGCACTGACTGGCACTGATAGGTGGCACTGACTGGCACTAATGGGCTGCACTGATTGGCAGCACTGATAGGTGGCACTGACTGGCACTGATAGGTGACAATGAAAGGCAGCTCAGATGGGCACTGATATGTGGCATTGATGTGCACTGGTAGGCACTGATATGTGGCATTGATGAGGCACTGATGGGCACTGGCAGGTGGCATTGATGGGCAATGACAGCTGGCATTGATGGGCACTGACAGGTAGCACTGCTGGGGCTACACTGACCATCAGGGCACACTGATCATTAGTGCCCTGAAGATCAGTGTAGATGTCCCCTCTGAGGAATGCCGATTACCGGCTCTCCTCTCCTCTCGAGCTGTAAACGTGACAGCTCGTGAGGAGAGAAATGCCGATAACCGGCATTTTCCTATTTACATGTGATCAGCTGTGATTGGACACAGCTGATCACATGACCGAGACGATATCTTCATCTCTTTCTGTGGATCGGTGATACACTGTGTCCCAGGGACACAGCACACCACCGATCACCGCGCTGCGCTATCCCGGAGCCGCGCATGCGCGGTTAGAGTGGGAGGACGTCATATGATGTCCTCCCAGAACGAGAGAATTGTCTTGCGCCCGTCACTACCTTATATGGCGGGCAGGAGGTGGTTAAACCACACCATTATGGCCACACCTACAACAACCCATCAACATGGGGACAAGGTGCTTTGGGGAGGAATGTAAATGGAAACCTCCTGCACTCCTACCTAAATTCTTAAATCAATAAACTAATAAAGCTGCCAACATCCAATTATATACCTAATGATCTATAAGCAAATAACACAGTAAATGATGTAGCGCTGACTATGTAAATAACAAAGTGCATAAGTGGATATCACAAATATCAGTGAAAAATATATAAATATAAAATATAAAACATAAATAGAAAATATAATACAAAATATAAGTCAAAATACACAACGTGACTGAAACCTCATAGACTCATATCTATGTACTGTGATGTCCAAAATCAGATCCTGATCCTCCAGGGATCATAATGGTGAAAAAAATTATAGCGTGAATACCAATAAATAAAGTACAAGAAAGTGTCTACAATACTCACACAAAATGTGTGTGTGAATTGATCCTAATTAGGATCTAAAGGTGGTAGTGAACATCCAAATAGTCCAAATGGGACTAGTGCATCAAATGCCTGATTTTCTTTTTTACCAGTCACCAAAGTGATACTGTACTGCTCTGGTGACAGTATTTTTTTAAAAAAATGTGTTTTGGAGTGCAGTGCCATTATACTGCTATGGTGATCATCAGAGACAATGGCTGGCTACATTTACATACAGTGTCATCAGAGAATCCACCCATTGTACATAATCACTGCTGCAGCAGTGCAATGTCACCAGACCAGTGCAGTCAGTCACAGTGTCCCCAATCACCACAATACCAGTCCCAGTGTCATTATGTGATCAGTTATCCATATTCAGATCACTTTTCATAGAGTATTTGACAGGCAGTGGGGAGGCATTGCATTGCCTCCACACCGCCTGCTTTAATCCCTTGGACCCTGCACAAGTGCCCCCTTTCACTTAAATGGGTAGCAATCGGCAGGGCTAGAAAGCTTACCACACTTCCCACTGAGAGAACTGGGATTAGCCCTGTCATGTACCGCCCAGCGTGATCTCTAGTGACCCACAGAACAAGATTCCCCAGGACGCGGAGTCTAAGTCCCAGTCTGCCTTTTCACCAGAGCCTTTGATGGTGGGGATGGACTTGGTGCAAGACTGAGACCAGGTTGCGGTCCCTGAGTGCACCCAACTGTGGTAGAAGGGTCCCGCTGAGGGTATGTGCCAGGGGTGAGCCTGAAGTGAAGGGCTGACAGGTCCAGGACCCGTGCGGGATGGATGACAGTCAGGGGTAAGCGTGGTCAGACAAGCCGGGTCGGTAACGGTGGAGTCAGATTGGTACAGAGCAGTAGGCGAAGAGTAAACAGGTCACGAGCCAAGGTTCAGCAACAGGAGGTCCAATAACATAGGGGTAGGCAGAGGAGTAGTCAGGGACGAGCCAGGGATCAGAGCAGGAGATAGTCAACAGGAATCAGGACAGGCAAGGTCGGCAACTAGGAACTCACTTCAGAAAACAGATGACAGGAACTAGACCTTGCGGCAATCTGATCACCGCCTGGCTAGTTTAAATAGCGTGCCCTGCACCGTCATTGGTGCCAGGTGCGCGCCCGTGTGCGCGAATGCGCATGCGCGGCCGCAATTGCCGCTGCGGGCCCCCAGGTCCTAGTGCCTGCACATTGGTGCTCCTAGGCAATCTGCACATGCGCAGACCCGTGCGCCGCGGTGAGACCAGCGATCCCTGACAAGCCCATTGTAAAACAGCAAAACATTTCAATTCTGTCACGCTGTGGACTGCAGGGTAATTAAACCCAATAGGAGTACATGGCTTGCCATAAAATGTCAAATGGCTGACAGATATCGTAAAAGTCATGTAGGCCTGATAGCTATCCTACTTGATCTGCAAAAGACCACTTCTCCAACTCATAGCTTCAAAATCTACACATAATTCATAAAACCGGACATGACAAAAGTACATTTTTATTGATTATATATTTGAATGTGGAAGAATATACTGAACGGATCAAGATCGCACATGAAAAGGCTATCATTAAAAGAAGGCGTAATAGATGTCCTCCACCTCCTGGGTGATCTGCCTATCTGACACATATCATGTTTAGTATCTCTAAAATGGCATTGATATACTATAAATATAATGTGTGGGTGATCAGATCATGACAGGTGATATGCTCAAAATATTAATACATTTAGAAAATTGCATATGACAGGGACAGCTGAATGATTGTAAAGATTGTGGCATCCCACTGGCCACTCCTAAAACCTTCTCATTGGTCAGATCATTTCTGTCAACACCCTCCTCAGGGACTAGAAAAGGGAGCCTGCAGCAGTAGACTGCAGCTCTTTTACCAGCAAAAACAGAATATCAGCCAAGATCTATGAAAGCCACTGATCTATCTTATGCTTATTGACTGGACTTTGCTGGGGTGAGGCTGAGAGTGTTATTGTCGTGTATCAGTGACAACGTGGTGTGAGCTTGACCAATCACTTGTCTCAAGTTGGTGAGGGTGGCTGGGGTCTCACACAATGTCCACATCATATCCACAGGGGTATAATTGCTCCAATGGCTTCAAAACAAAGCACTTCTATACCCAGGCCACTGCCTCTGCAGCTACAGGATGTAGCAATGGGGGGGCAGTAAAACCACCGCTGAACTGCCTCTCAACCTCACATGTGAACAACACCAATAGTGCAGCCAGTCACAGTATCCATAAATTTGATAGGAAATTAGATGAGTAATTTATGTCCATAGGACGCCCGAAGGTGTTCCTTGGATTTTGGGCCCCTTTATGTGGCTAGACTGTGAAAACATCTTATAGATGTGGTATTACCATACTCAAGAGCAGTAACAAAATGTGTTTGGTAAGTAACTAAGAATGCCTATGCTGTATTTTAGAAATAGCAATGGATATATAAACTGCAGCGCTAAAAACAATAAATAAAAGTAAACGTTCGTTCAGAAGTAGAAATCTGCTAGGCCCAGAGGTCTCCTTTAAGGATATGCGGGTTTTCAGCCTGGGTACAGGGCTCCCTCCTCTGGATACTGGATGCTATTCATGATTGTTCTGTTGGTTTAATAGCTCCTCCAGATAGGAGCCAAAGAGAGGGAGTACCAATAGTGTAGTAAATTCTTGATGTTTATTGAATAAATGTAGTAAAAAGGTATAAAGTAGGGTGCAGGTACAATATAAGTGCCAATTTGTGATAAAAGCAGAGTACTGCAGCACTGACCCTAAAGTAAGATGGCCGCCGGACCTCCTCGTGGTCATGGGGGCAATGGTGTCACACGCTGTCAGCCCCTCCTGAGGATTTTCGTGCTAAGGCACATCGACAGAGCGGAGGCTAACACTGGTGTGGTGGAGGATCACAGAATAATACCAAAGAAGAAGATATTCATGTAAGTGATACACATCACTGATCAGATTGTTTATGACTTTCAGTTTTGGGATCACTTATATATGCTTTCCACAGGAGTATTTATGTTTTTCAACAATTATTAATTTAGAAAGTTGTACTCCTTGGATGTTGGGCCCCTCGACGTGGCTAGACTGTGAAAAAGTCTCACACATGTGGTATTGCCATACTCAGAAAGAGTAGCAGAAGGTGTTTTGGGTGTAATTCTAAGTATGCCTATGATTTGTGTTATAAATATCTTATTCATTGACAACTTTGTGTAAAAAAATACGATTTCATCTTATTTCCTGCATTTTCTAAAAACCTGTGGCAAAAAAATCACGTCTTCAAAAGAGCAGTATGCTTCTTAGCAAAATACCTCAGGGGCATTTGATTTTCAAAATGGGGTCATTTTGTAGGTGTTTCTCCTGTGCTGGCACTTTAGGAGCTCAAGAAATTTATTAGGTAGTCAGGAAATTAGATACATAATTATTTCTTCTTGAAATCAGTAAGGTGTTCCTTGCATTTTGGGCCTCTTTTTTTGCTTCTAGGCTGTGATAAAGTCTCACACGTGGTATCCCTATACACTCAGGAGACATAGCAGAATGTGTTTTGGTATACAATTGTAAGTATGTCTATTCTGTGTGTAAGAAATAACTAAAATTACAACTTTGTGAAAAAAAAAACAGATTTTATTTAATTTTTTTCATTTTACAAAAAATTGCATCAAAAAAATTACAAATTCCAAAAACTCTTATTAAATACCTTGGAGTGTCTTATATTCCAAATAGGGATCACATGGGGGATATTTGTGCTTTCCTGACATGTTAGGGCTTCAAGAAATGAGATAGGCCGTCAGTACATCAAGACTGATCAATTTTCAAGCATATATACCATAGTTACTAAAACTGGAGAGTGCAAAATCTGGTGCATCTGTGAATGGTAGCCAATCAGCTTCTAATTTCAGCTTGTTCAATTAAGGTTTGGAAAAAAAAAAACTGAAAACTGACTGGTTCTATGCACAGCTGCACCAGATTTTGCGCTCTCCAGTTTTAGTAAATCAACCCCTTTAACTTGTACACAGACTAAATACTATACACTGATTTGTTGGGGGTTTTTTTCACCAAAGAACTGTAGCAGAATTTATTTGGCCTAAATGTATTATGAAAGATTAATAAGCTGCAAAGTTTTATAACACAACCTATGCAAAACAGATTGTTTTCAAAATTTTTGTTCCTTTTTCCTATA